TCCCAGTTATCCTTAAGTCTGTGCCAGCCCTTATGGAGACCCATCTGCGAGAGTAAATAAACATGACTGGTTTGGTTTCCAGGCTACACCTCAAACGCATCCAACACCTTTGGGATACCAGTCAGGTCAGGTTTTGTCGCCCCACATCAGTGTTGCATCACTTATGATCTTGTGGCTGAATCAGATCAAATCCTTTCATATCTCAAACCAGGGGGTGGAGACTTTTAACAAAGGTACTTAACTATCTATGGTTTTGACATGAGAAGATAATCAGTAGTCTCATCAGTTAAGATATCATGTTGTAATATAGCGTGATCTCTCTATAGATCTCTCTATTATTTAAAGGTGTGGGTTAACAATAGTGAACCTTTCAGAAGTAGAAGAAATAGTAAATGTTAGCTTGATAGCAGAACAACTCTCCCGGTCTTCATCCAGCATGACTCACACCAGAGGCTCAGAAGAGGAAAATCAGTGCAGAGTGTACTTCCATACAGATAGATACATAAAAATGGATTTAGGACTTTAATTAGAAATAGAATTAGGTATTTAATCCTTATAATTACAACACATGCCACAACTGTTAAATGTAAATGTAAAAACAATTAAGTGTTCTGTATAAAGTTAAAGGAAAATTAAATTTTGTATCGTTTGTATTTTCTGGTATAAAGCATGTTGTTTCACAAGTTTTTGTTCCCAGATATCTCTGCAATGGAGGCACCAAGTGCAAAGTAACTAATGTTAGGGAAATAGTTAAATAATGAGTTTATACAGATGATAACAGATGTCCTTGTTCAGATTCACAGCAGCCACACAATCACACCTTAACAGTCTGACATTACATCACACTTCATGACCGTACATTTCTAATGGGGCAGACAGCAGAGTTGAAGAATCCTTGTTCGATGCTGATTCCTCCTCCTTATTTCACACTGCAGCTTCTCAACATGAATGAGCTTCTCCTCAAGCCCCTCCACGGCTAAGACCAGGGCAAGCCTTAAGATAATAGACACGCTACATAAAAATAAAACACTAACTGACACGCCCTAAACTGTACAGGAAATCTTATCTGGGCCATTTATTAAAGTCTTCAGCAGTTTTTTTATGTGCATATTTATCTTGCCCCGTCCTTAAGTTTACAGGATACATTTTGTGCTCTGCCTGATAATTTATCCAACCTCCAAATTCTCGACACATGCTGACGTTTTTCTCCCCCTTTTTACTAGTCGAAACAATAGAAGTGGAATGTGGTGCAAGTCTGCCCCCTGTTGACTGAATACGATCCCCCACAACAATCCCTCACACGGTACAATTTCTCATATTGTCTTAACATGAGTATGAGCAGATTCATTTTACACCTTCATCTCATTAGTGAGTATGTTAATATGCTGTGCAACATTAATTCACACAGAGTGCTTTAGAGTGGAAGGAATGAGGACATACCATACTGTATATAGGGCATGGTCAGGCAGAGCACAATTACACCATTAGACATATTTTAGAATATAGGACAGGAGGTTGAATGATTGCTGTATTCAAATTTGAAACTATTTTACACATTTTATATTCTGCTGATCAAACATCGTCAAGAGATCATCCAGGATGAAGGCTGGGGAATACCAACAGAGCAAAACGAGTCATTCTCAATAACACTGAAGGACGAAATGATAGTGGTCTAATTGTAACATCTGCTTTGTTGATTAGTCTTGAGGCCCTTTTTTGCCAAGGAGCTTTAAGGAGCTTTAAGGAGCTTTAAGGAGCTATTTATTAGTTTGGTTTATACAGTGGTTAAAAAAGTGCACATCCTTGAAATTTGTATTACTGTGAATGGGCCATTCTCTTGTCCTGTGTTAATGCTCAGGAGCTACTTTAGAAATTGTCCTTGTCATTAGTGAGTCATCCTCAAACAGTTGTACAATATGCTGTCACTTTGTATTGTTTGTGTGATGGACGTTGTGTGCAGAGCTTTTAAAAAAACAGTCTATGGTGCAGAGTGAAGTTAGAAAACCTTGTGTTCATCCTACCTGCTTTTTTTGAAGATGTTTTGTTTTTCATAAAATGAAACTGACTCAACTCGTCTGTTTATACAGATTTTAGGTCCAAATCTCAGCAAGTTTGACTCTGCACTTCCCTGGACCACTAATAAATACGCTTACCAAGTGTGAAGCTGATGAAATGAATGGTTCGCGAGATATGCGTTCCACGGACAGACAGACAGACATTTGTGGCATTAGGAGGTAGACCAGGTAACCCAGGTCATCCACTAACTAGAGGGTGAGCGGTTCAATCCCAGTCTCCCCTGTTCTGTGTGAAAATGTCCTTGGTCAAGATACTGAACCCTAAATTGCCCCTGACGGCTGTGCTGGTAGTGTGTGAGTGATGAACAATGATGACTTCACAAAACGCTTCACAGGACAGTTTGTCGTTCACCCACTCACACACACATTATTATAGTGCATCTAAGCACTATATACATACTGAACATTAACCATCTTACATGCTAACTTTTTTCAGATAAGGGTTACTACATACAGTATATGTCTGTTGGGTAATTTTTTTGTCATTCAGACCAGTGCTGGATTCCGCCTGGGGGTAGCGACGTGGGTTCAAAAGTTCAACCTGTCAAGTTGACGAACAATGTCGCTCTATTCGCTGTCCTGTTGTGATCATTTTACATTTTACATATACAATATAAATAATTTAACACACTATTTACTCATTTACTGTGTGGTTCTCAAAGAAAAAAGTGCTGCCAACAGATGAATGGGTGAATGGCAAAAAACTGTTATGTCGGATGCCATAAAGGATAAGCTTGGCTTTAGTTTGGTTGTTGTCTGATACAACCTAATAAACTATATTGCAAAATACTTTGGTTGATTCCAGTCGCTTTCTTTGAGTACTTCTCTGATCTCAGCAGCATGTGTGTGGATTTTTTGGGCCCAGCCCTGGGTCACTGTGAGCCGCCGTGTTCAGAAACTATGCACACCATGGGTTTGGGTATTTGTAAACATCTATAACCATCATTCTTCAATTGCACTTTAGTTCAAATTTGATGAAAATATTCTTTTTACGGGTCTAGTTTGTTGGTGGAAATGAAAAAGCTTTGATAGCACGCGACAGCACAGCACTTTTGCCCTGTGTAAGGTTCAAAATGGCCCCTTTTAAAATCCTCTGAGTGCAGAGTTATCACTGAGCGTGGGGGTTGAGATACATAAATGCCACATTTACACATTATCATGTGCATCAAATAGAATCCTCAAGTGGATATCTGCCTGTCTGAAGAAAAAGGGAGTGACGGGAAGCTCTGAAGCACTGCTCTTCACATTTCTCCAGGATGAAACCCTCTTTCCTTTTGAGTTGAGGTCAAACAGAGGGAGGTGCCACAGGGAAATAACATTCTCATGAATGAGACAATTACACACATCTCTCACTTTCACCCTGCTCAACCCCTTTTCTGGTTTTGCATCCTTGAATTCTCCCACACCTTAAAGCTAACAAGACGTGGGGGGAAGCAGAGGCCTGTCCTGAGGTAGAGCGAAACTGTGTATCTTTCACGGCATTGCCAAGTTCTGTGACCTAAACTTGGGGTATCGGATGAAAGAATACAGCTTCGCTTGCATGACTACATGGACTAAAAGCTACTGAATCATGTACTTTAACAACAGCTTTGGGGCAAAAGCTATCTAGAGCCAGCATAAGAGTGCATAATCCTCTATGGCAGTGAATCAAGTGTAGAGTCAGTTCAATCCATTTAAAACAATGTCGACCGAAGCCCAAGAAGAATGAAGCAAATTCACTTGAGATTGAGACATTTTTGACTAATGAATTTATAATTAAATGTCAATATTTAAGAACCACCTACCACAGTCAGTTAAAAATGTAACATTCCATCTGAAATTTGTAAATCTTTTGTATGTCCACCTTTATTTCTCATGACGGATCCAATCCCCCTGGCAATGGACGATACCAGTCTTGCAGAAATCTATGGAAGACATCTAAGTGTTCTGCCATTCTTCACACATCATTCTTATCGGCTGCTCTTTGCTGGAGGGTTTTGTTGTTCCACTTTAAAATGTTCCAGAGCTGTTGTTCTGTTGGATTAAAATAAGAGGATATATTTTGGCCAGGTCAAATTTGGACATGCTCCAGTGTATGGGATCATTTTCCTCATCTTCAATTGCTCCCCTGCCAGGCTTATTGAGACTAGGAGGCATCTTTAAATTCAGTATTTAGTTTTACAAACTTGCATTGATGGCGCCAACTATAAACATCATCTTTCCTACACTGTTTGCACTCATGTAGGCCCATATTTACACACTCTCCTCCATGTTTAGTGGGTGGCCAAGTGCCATCCATTGACTTTAAATATGGATGAAATGGCAGCTTGCTCCCCAAAAGTTAACCTCAATAATCTTGGTCATCCCCTGGTGGCGGGCTGCAATATAGCTAATAAACCCTGCCTCCTCCATGTTAATGGAAGGGACACGGACCAAGCTAAAAGATGGTTTACGTCACTTTAGATAGTATCACACTGATATATGTCAGATCTTCCTGCCAGGAAAAAACTGGGGAGGGGGGGGTCCATGACCACAATATTGAGTGATGTGAAAAAACATCATTGTACATTCTTCGCTGGATTTTTTCGAAACATTATCTTCTGATCATTTTACTTCTTTTTCCAATCCTTCCTGGCTGTGAACCTCTGTGCCTGTCTGCATGAAGGACCAGGAGTGAGGCATGTTGCTCATCTCTTAAGCCCATTTAACAGCTCGTTACCCATTTGTCTCTTTCTCCCTCTTTTCCTCCGTTCCAGGCACTCATCATTTCTTGGTCAGGTTCCATTTTTGCTAATGCGGCGGAAATGAGCCGTGGCCATTGCAAAGTGAAGTGGAGCAGATTTGTGGTGGCATTTTACTATACCGCGCTCCATGAAAACACAAACAGGGCCAGGTGTAACAAGGCTCGACACAAACAGGGGCAATGAAGACATGGGCGAGCCCAATGACACAGAAAGCTAATGGTTTAGCCACATTTAATTCAGTTGGACAGCACTTAAAACACGGGGGCTGAGGTGTTACACTGCACATATAACGCTTGATGAAACCAGATTAGAGGTGAGCCACAGAGGTGCTGTTCCACACAGAGTAAAGCATGTTAACGGTGAATGACGTGACACTGGTGTGGCCATGATATAACATGTTAAAAAGGACTGAGAATGAAAAATAAATGAACTACTTCAAGGGAGAGTGCACTTTTCAACATTGTCCATGTACTATGCAAGCGGTGCTAATTTATGAGAATAAAACGGTTTGTAAAATATTCAATACCATTTTTCTTGGGAATTGTTAGCTTATGTTAACCCTTTAAAATTATTTTCATAAAACTTTAATATTTACAAAACAGAAAAAAACAGACATTGAATTCAATAATTGATACTATTCGATACTGTGGTGCTCAAGCACTTGGAAGCTGTTGGAAACAAGTGTTCAATAGGTGGGAACATTTCATAGGTCAGACAGTGGAGTCCAGTGTCTGCTCGGGATCTTGGGAGCTCATCATGAGGAAGAGGCGTTTGGAAAGCTCTGGGCCGACCCTTCGAGTCGTGGAGGTCACGCCTTCACCTCTGCGGATCAGAAGGTCAGACAGCAGGGAGATCCTCTCGCGGTCGGTCTTGCACAGACTGTAAGCCTGCAGAGAGACATGGACATATTTAATATTAAGGGGGGGGGGGGAAATGCTTTTCGGTGAACATGACTGAAAAACATTTGGAGCTAGATTTCTTGCCTTGATCTTTAAATCTCCGTAAATGAGTCATTTTTCATGTAGGCTGAACTTAACTTGACAAGCTGCTTTAAAAGGGTACCAGGAAATAAATATATGATAACTGTAGGATACATGTAGAAGTCTGCAGTCGCACCGCTGGTGCTTTTCAAAGGCTGCTATGATTAATAAATTAAAAACACTATAATCAACAGAAAAAGCATAAAAATGTAAGAAAAAGGGAAGAAAAGACAAATATTAAGAGCATTTTATGTCGAGGCCTTTCTATGAAAGTGAAGCATGATGTCAGAGAGCAAAACTGATTTTTAATTTAGACCTGTTTTTGGTTGTTGAACTAGTTATGTGTCAGGCCTGTGATAGACTGGATGCTCATCAGAGGTGTATCCGGCATTATGCATGATGTAAGACTGTTATAGTGTAAAATCCTGATAAGTGCCAGTTCTAAACCTGTCTGTGTGAAATGGGCTGTGAGCCTGGCCTGCTGTGTTGCTGGTCGCAGCTTTTCTTAGTGAAACTTCGAAAGTGACCTGCAGTGATTGAGTTGAGTCCGGCTGCTGGACTGAGTTTGCAGAACCCTGAAGCTGCACCATCGCTACTGCACTAAGAGCTGTTCACCTGTTCATTCAACAGGAGAATCAGTTGTCAACGCGCCTGATGTCCAGAACATGCTGTTGTTGTGATCATCACTTACGTTGATGAGTCCTAGCCACCGCTGCTACACGGCGCTGGTCACCTGCTAAGTTTATTACTGTTTTATGTATCTTACGTCCAAGTCCCACCAAATTCCACATTGCACTTAGGCCCTGAAAAAATACACATATGAAGTGTGATGCTAACAAGATGAATGGCGTTCCACATTCAGACAGACTGATTTCTGGTAATTAGTGAGAAATAAAACATTTTTGCCATCAGCCCCTAACCCACTTACATTTGTCTTTTGTCTGCAATGGGAATTGACACAATCGGCGTTCAATCCCAGGTGAAATGACACTGCAGTACACACCGGTGATGGAAAGTTGGCATCCATGTGAATGTGCTAATTTGAAAACACAGTGCCTCAGTATGCTGAACATGACAAAAGAACTGTCAGGCAAACTCCTCTACTGGCAATGCAAAAGGAGTTCACGCATTTTTAAAATAAAAACCTGCATATATCCGCTGATTTTGGTGTAAAAGAACTAATAGTGCCCCAGAAAAAGGACTAGTATAAATATACACTTGGGGTATCCTGAATGAATGAGCAGTTGGAGTACCTTCTTGAGCAGCTGTGGGGATGGGTACGCTGCCAGGATTGCTGCAGCCATGTCTGGGCTGACTCTGTTGAACTGTTGGATCTGTCTCTTCCACACCTGCAGCAGGCCCTTACCGGCTTTATCCACCCGCTGACCGCCCGCCCACTCGCTCTCCAGGTGGAAAGAGAAGCCTGTCTTCTCCCTCTCTCGCCTAACGCACACCCACACACAAGAGGAAGAGACCTTATTGTTTGATCTGCAAAAAAAAAGCTTTTGACACAGTCGTTAAGAGGAAGAACTTCATTAGCTCACTTGAAAGGGGCCTCTGCAACTGCTTTGGTTGTCATGGTGATGTGATCGGAGAAGTCCTTCCAGGTTGACAAGAAGCGGACCGAGACGCCAGTGTAGAGCTGGAGATGTGCCACTGCCTGATGGGATATGAGACAACAGAAAGATGTGGCTCACTATAAAAAAATAAAATACTGTTAATTAATCTATTGAAGACACGTCGGACCCCTCAGTCTACATCTGCTTGGGATTACAGCCCGAGAGCCGTCAATCTCATTATCGAACTAGGTAGAGGACTTTTCCCTCAATTTGAAATATTAAACAAATCAATTAACTTTAAATTGAATTGAGTTTTTATTGTAGGTTTAAAATGTTTGAATGTGCAAATGGTATTCTTTAGTGGTCAAGGCATTCTTACAAATAAAATTATAGGTGGCATTAGTAAAATCATGACATTGTTAGGAACTTAAACTTAGATGCATTTGTATAGTTATCTCTATGTTAGACGCAGATTAATTATTTGTGTGACTTTTTTTCTTTTGTGCTTTTATATTGCATGTATTTTATTCTATGTTGTGTTAATTTTGACCCCGAGTCTGGATAACAAATGCCGTCATCATCATCATAATAGAAAGATGTAGGGATTCACTACCACAAACACTGGTGTTCTTCCTCCACCAACGAACCCACCTCTTCTACTTCAACCCGTGACACCTCAGGAAGCGCCTCAGCTCCGCCGTTCTTCCTCCTCTTCTTCGCTTTTCCTCCGCCTTGCTCCTCATTCGTGATAGCCTCTCGAAACCTCTTCTGGCTTTGTGACTTCTGGGATCTGACAGCAAAAAACACCAAAAATAAATTACCTTTTTTTTGGGTGTTAACACTCAGCGTGTACTCTGCACTGGTCTCAAATGTGGGCAGCGCCGCTCTCTTTGCTTCATTTCCCGTCTTCACAGTGTTTCCAGCTGAGTTCTGCCAGCCTCTGCTGACAGTGATATGTGACATGTTTCCAGACACTGGGGCAGCAGAGGAGATATTGAGGTTTGCTTACAAGGTATCTGAGTGCTATTCCTTGTTGTCTTTTTACTCAGTGCTATACTTCAACACTGCTGTACTCATTCAAGATGGTGTTTCACAGTCTTCACTTGACAAACGGGAACAGGAATTCGAACCAGCTGCCTCTGGGTTATCAAAACATGAAGTAATAAATGAAGCCCTTCATGAATGAGAAAAAAGCAGATGCCGCCTGTCCCCCACCTGAAATATTTCTCCATGTCGATCACCACCAGGCTGAGGAGCTTTCCAGGGTTACGTCTCTGCTGCTCTTGCACCCACGATGTAAGAGTGGGATTAGAGTCTGACCTGCCGTGTCTCTCCTCCTGCATTCAATAGAGCGAATGGAAAGCAACAACAGGTATTAATACACTTAAAGGTCCAGTGTGTGAGATTTAGGTGAAAAGGATTATTGGCAGAAATTGAATATAAAATAATTCTAGCAATGTTTTCACTGGTGATCATCTAGATTGTATAAATTGTTGTTTTCTTTACTGTAGAATGGGCCCTTTATATTTAAAGCGTTCTATTTACATGGTGGGGGGTCCTCTCTTTTTTTACTGTCGTCCAAATTGGACAAACTAAAACATGACAACTGAAGTTCGCCACAGGTTCTCTGTCATGTTTGGAAGAGGATGAGATGAGGAGTATTCAGCTGCAACATGCAACTTCACCTCTAGATGTCACTGAATTCTACACACTGAACCTTTAATACACGATCACTTTACCCAGAACTGGGTGATGTAACATATATTTTCTCATAACTCAAGATGCCTCTGAGTAATCCTGACAAGATTCCCTGGAGAAATCCTGCTCTGTCTCCTGAGCGTGCACACAAACATTGAGTGCACAATTATTGAAATGTGAGGGTGAAAAAAGAGTGTGAGATGTCTCATTCCGTGTTTAAAAACTGAATTAAACTGGCTGAAGGGTTTTCCTTGTCTTTGTCAAGCCTGAAACCTGCTTGTTTCTGCTGGTGGCTTTAATTTATGCCAGTTTGAGCTGCTTCCTTTTGTTGTGCACAAAAAGGCATAAAGCCAAAATCCCTGTGTGGCTATATTCTACATTAAATGGTCTAAATGGTAAATGGTCTGTATGTATAATAGCCCTTTTCTAGTCCTGATGACCCCTAAAAGCACTTTCCAGTATTCTTTTGCCATTTACACTCACATTCCTTCAGTGCATCTATGGGCAGCACTTTTTCTACGAGAACGTATAGAGGATGACGCTGAGACCCTGAGACACTCTTAGTCACAGCCGCCCTCCATTATTATAAGTACATATATCATAAAGGGTCATATGCATAAAGTACAGCAGGGGTACTGGGATATCAACGACAAAGGGAGACATCTTCATAATATACAAAAGCATATGGGGATTAGGAGAAAGGTGGGAAGATACAGAAGGGAGGAAGTAGTCATGAAATCAGATCTCAATCACATCTATGTGGACAGCGGTGTGAATATGATCAGATCAAAATCATATCTAAATACAATCTGAACATGAAACACATTTTAACGCAGGTGTAAATGGAGTCAGCGTGACAAGGAGGAGCAGCAGCTGCAGTCGCCGCACCAACCTGAACGTAGCTGCGGATCAGAGAGGTGAAGTCGTCAACTGTCATCTGCATCACAACATGAGCCTCCGGTACACACACTCCATCATCTGACTGAGATACACACACAGAACAGAGGGAGATGGTCATTTAACAGTTATTTAGAAAACTGCTGTGGTTGTGAGTAGTGATGTTCTTACACATATACACCTGCTTCCTGTTCTCAACCGGTTTCTTTTGTTGTATCACAGTGACCCTTGATGTTCATGCTTCACCTCATGTGGTGCAGCTTTAATGAATTTAAGACCGTTGGGCCTCGGAGGATGTATGTGCTCTTTATTTCTGCTGCTACCTGAGCATCTATTAGCTTTCTCTCAGTAAATTTACACATGACAAGGCGTGCATAATCAGTCCTACTAAAAACTAGGGTCATTTTAAGTTACTCCTCCACCAGCATGTATAAATACGTGCCTGGAATCATCTACTCATGGAGACACACACAATAGCACTGCTGCTGGAAGAAATCCTGGGGGAAGCACTGGTGTGGGTGTGTTTGTTTGTGTATTAACACCTGTGCACAGGGAGCCCTCCTCATCCAGCTGACACTGCGTGGGAGGGGTTGTTTCTCTATGGCACAACTGCAGCCCAGAGCCTGCACAGACGCCAGCAGAGTGCCGCCTCCCTCCAGCTGCAAGAGAGCTGCAAACACAAACACCAACACAGAGATAATGTGCACAATATATCCATTTAACAACTTAAATAATGCATTCAAAGCATTAAGATAACATGCACACAGTTGGCTTGATTTGCAGTCTAAAATTGTCTTGGACAAAACCACAGAGAACCATAGGACACTGCCGACTGAGGGGATTTGTTATCAGTGCCAGGTAATATTTTCTCTTTACCTGGGTCCACAGCCACCACCATGTGCTTGATACACTCCTCTGGCCTCAGGGCCTTGGCAGCCTCTGACAGAGCTTTTCTCTCTGCTTTCTCCCTTTCCTGTTCCAGCCTGAGTGCCTCCTTGTCCCTCTGCTGTCTCTCCCTGGCTTGCCTCCTCCTCAGAGCCTCCTCCCTGGAGGCCTGGATCTCCTCCACCGTCCGCTTGGCAGGATTCCTCTTGGCAGGGGAGGTGTTGATGCTCCCTGCACTGGAGAGGGGCTTCGTTGACGGCCATCGCTGAGGGAGAGCTGCCGCCTCCTCTGGACCATCTGAGGCACTATGGCTCAACGGATGGTAGCTGAGCAGGGGCTTTGACTTTGGAAACCCATTTTGGCAGGAGAGCTGCAAACTGGGCAGATTGGATGAGGAGTTCAGCTCAGCATCTTTCCCATTAGGGACAGCGGAGGAAGCACTAATCACGTTGTCTTGTCTCTGTTTGAGTCTCTGTGCCAGAGGGACATAAGGTGCATCCTCATCGGAATCGCTGCTGATCATCATAACATCAGCCACCCCCCTACGTGCACCTGCTTTATCATTTACTGGGGGGAAGCCTACTGCGTTTTCTGCATCAGAATCAGCCAGATCAACCATGTCTGGCTTCTCTCTGTGGCTCTTTGAGGTTTGGCTCAGGTGTCGACGCGGCTGGAGGAAGTCGAACACAGGCAACTCCTCGTCCAGGTCGCTGCTGGAGTCACTGTAGCTGCACATGTTCTTTCAAGTGCAGGAAAAAGCTTCTGTAAATGAGATATCAGAGACGAATTATGAATGGATCACGAGTTAGAAAGCCCCCAGATAGCTTTTGCTTCAGATAACACCAGGCTTCAGCCGAAGTTCCTGCAATTTAAGATTTCTTAGTGTGGTTGCCAGTGGACATAATACCTGACATATCCTAAACTAAAGCAATGATAGGGTTTATGTATGACAGTAAATTCGGCATTGAAATGAACCATCAAGCAGGACCTGTTTCAGAGGAATTATACTTGATGTTGGCTGTTCTATGCTGTGCACGGTACACATGCAGCTGTGTTTACATGGCATAAGAGACTGCTGCTCTGAGAGAAACACAACAACTGTCCATCAGAAATAAAGGACTTTTTAAACTGAGTTTGGCACAGCATGAACAATGGAAGACACAGGGACGTCATAAACAAAGACACACTGCAGGCGTTGATCACTAAAAGAGAAGCTTTTCGTTTCGAACACTCACGATCTTTCATGAAGTTAAGATGTCGGATACTTTACATGAATATCAGCTGCACACAGTAGCGTCCAGTTAGAGTGTAATGAAGTATTTGAAGTATTTGAAGTACTTCCGCGGACAGTTTGTTGTGAAGCACATTTGAGTTCCCCGGGTTGCAAAGTTAAGGTGCGTTCAATAGAGTGGGAATAACGGAATTTACTAAAGTCCATGGTGGGTTAATGTGGACACATAACACCTGAATAAAAGTGATATATTTGTTTTAGTTTTACTGAAAATTAAATGTCAGACAAAAATACAAAGATACTTTTTGTCCCGAAACGTTTTACTTTCTTGTATGAGTCCATTTTAAAACGTTGTTCTTTGAGGATGAACGATCTGTTCCGTTTAGATCTCCATTGGTTTGAATCCTAACATTTTGATTTTGATGTTTGAATTAAGATGACTCTACTTCGAATGTCATGTAGCTACAATTTGGGAACTATTATGAAACATATTTCAGTTTTCATCGCACGGTTTCGTATTTTTCTTGGGGATTTTGAAGGCAGCGTGCGTATCCGGATGTGACGCTGTTACGTCAACACAAGTGACGTGGTCCAAGATGGCAGCGCTGGCGTCCTTGATGCTGAAGTCCCGAGCAGGTATGAAGTTTTTTATTTATTTATATACTTTCTCATTTATACCGCTACGATTGGATTACTCGTATAAACGACAGAAGAACGGTTAAGATTACCCAGCAGCCCCTGTAATGTTATCATACGTTTTAATGACCTGATGTTGATTAGCTAACTTAGCATAGCTAGCTCTGCATGCTGTCAATGTGTAAATAAGCACTGAATGAAATAGACATGTGATGTCACCACAACCCTGGGTGAAGTTTATCAACGTCATATTTATATGACGTCATGTTCATCAATAAACAACTGTCACAAACACGTGTTTACTTGTTGTGTATTCACAAGTGACACACCTACTCATGCTTTACTGATCCCTTTACATCAAATGAGTAACGCTGTTAAATCTGTCATATCTTGAATGGAGTCTGGTGTGATGCCTTGATGTCGTGGCTCAGACGGGATGTTTCTGTTTCCAGGTTTGCTGGCGCCTCATCAGTCCTTTCTGCTGGAGTCTGTGAGGTTCGCGTCGAAGAAGTCTGGTGGTAGCTGTAAGAACGTCGGTGGAAAGAGCCCTGGTCGGAGATACGGCTTCAAGAAACAGGATGGTAATTTCCTCCTAAGTGAAAGCTTCAAATTGCCCAGTACTTTGTAGTTTCTGCTGAAGCTCACTCTCTAGTGTTGGTGCTGGAATACAGTTTCCCCGCATCTCCAACTTTAAGTCAGTTGTGGATTCTGTCACAATATTTTTTTAAAGAGCTGATCCACAGTGTAAAGACACAGAGACATACAGTATCTCTACAGATGAGAAGAGTTGTGTTCCAGACCTAAACATTAGTGTTTTTGATCAATAAAACATCTTGTGCTGCTTTGTTTGAATAGTTTTGTTCACATTAACTCAACACAGACAATGTTGTTATTGAAAATAGAGTAAATCATTTGTATTAAATGCGTGTGGGGACTGTAAAAGCTGATTTGGTAACTATTTCATACATTCTAATCATTTCTATCCATCATCTTCTATCAATGAAATCACTGTCAGCATTCTCAATGATTGATTAATATAGTGATTTATATTAAAATAAATTCCAACCATGCTCAAGTTGAAAGAAACTTGTGAAAATATAAAAGAGTGATTCGTATAAGATGTGATTATTTAGACTAAAACAATCTTTAAACCTAAAACAGAATCCCCACAGTTCATTTATGGGAAAGCGATGAGAGTCGTGTGATATTCCTCAGTTACAGTGTGAGTACATTGATAACGATCTGGGTGTCCTCCAACGTCTCTTTCCATCCGTTTCCTAGGAAACCCGGTCCACGCCGGTAACATCCTCGCAACGCAGAGGGTGATGAGGTATCACCCAGGGGCACATGTGAGTAGACGCGTTCTGTAGCAGAGGTTTTAACCTGATGACGTGTCTGGGTCAAATGTAAACTGACGGCGTCTGTTCTGCAGGTGGGTATGGGAAGCAACAAGACTCTGTATGCTCTGGAGGACGGTCACGTCAGGTTCACCAAGGAGGTGTACATCCCAGCACCACGCAGCAAGCTGTCCACACGGGTCATCACCAAACTGCCACAAGGAGCAGTGCTCTACAAAACTTTCATCAACGTCCTGCCTCTCAAACAGGAGGGCAAGTTCAAACTGGTGGACCTGGTCTGAAGCTGACTGGAATTTCATTCTTTCCTTTTGTGTGTTTCTGTGACCATCAGAGAGGATCACGTGCACTCTGGAAGACTCTGCCAGCTTGGACTTCTATCTTTGATCTTCCATGTGCGTTTAGGCAGAGACATTGAGTTACTATGATGGCTAATAAAGTTTTATATGTATGTGTCGAGGGTAATAATGTGTTCTGTTGCTTTGTGGTGGAAGAAGTAACACAACAATGTACAAATACTCAGTTACGAGTAAAATCCTACATTTAAAATTTTACCTTTGCAAAGTCTGTGACTTCCTATCAGCAAAATGTCTGTGTGGTTGGTTATAATGCAACTAATCTTACTTTATTTGGAAAGTAATGTGTACTTCAAAACAAAGTTGAATCTTTGAAACATTAGAACTGAGAAGCGTATCGTGAGGATATTGAATCTTTCATTCTTTAGTTCCACTGCTCTATAGTGATGTGGGTCTGCATATCCAAAGACAGATTAAAGCACCGTGCAGCACTATACTTGTTAAAAGTTGTTTTTATGAAATTCTTCAGTTAATCTGCTGGAAAATCATTATTTAACAACCAAAGTAGTTTCTAAAGACCACATCCACAGTGATGGAGTTCAGTAACTCTTTGTAACTGTTAGTAGAAACCTGACCACATCATTCTAAACTATGAGTTCCTCTGTTTGACATCAAAACACTGCAACAGACTCATTGTGAAAACCTCTTTTTTGTTCCAACTGGTTTGTTAATTGTTTATTTGGCTTAAGAAGTGCATAAAGGAACTTCAGTATATCATATATATCACAAGACATGTTAATAGTGGATAGGTCATTTTCCCATTATTTGGAATCACATTAAAACATCCTTTAGAAAAAGGTTTATTCATTTTCAGTTCATTTGGTCAGAGGAAAACATTTGAGTCGGGCAGTTTGAATTCAAACTATAATTATTGTTATTAATTTGGCTTGTATACCTTTACCAGATAGTGATGACAGGACATTAGGGAAAGGAGATTCAACAAAGGTCCCAAAGAAGATTTGAACCAGAGACATTGTGGTTTATGATCGGTGTCTTCAACCCTGAACCATTCCACTGTCAATGGAATTCTGAATTATACTCTCACTGCTCTACAACCAAAATGTTTGTTTAACCAACGTCACCATTGATATTGAATTATTTAGATCCAAGCTTTCATGTTAAATTGAAGTAATTAACCCTAACATTAATATTTGAGTGCCCAGTTAGAAAAGTGCAGTAGCACAAAATGACCACAAGATGTCATTGCACTGAATGAATCCCATACATTCAAATTATAGACTCTCTAGAGTTTATATGAACAAAAACCATCTTACAGAAATCGACCTGCCTCTCACTTGCCTACAAGGAAGTCATTGATGATCCTGATTGTATTCAGACTTCTTTCTGATGACATTCAATATTCAATATTCTTAATGTGTCACCATTTCTTATTAAATTGCAACTGTTGCTTATTGAGTCACAGATATTTAGTAAGTTATTAATATTTGAATTTACGTTTTAAGAAGCTTTCAAGACCAAAACAAAATACAACTCTTTTAACTTGATAAAAAAGTGCAATACCAAAATTGACCACAAGATGTCAAAAAGATCCAAATCACTGCTGCACTATGTGCTCAACTTAATGAGTGTCCAAATGACACATTCAGATGCAAGTTTATTTCCTCGTAAACTGATTTTACAAGGAAAATAAAATGCCTCCTAAGGTTTCTGACTGTGAAAGGTAAAACTCTGAAGTGGCCCCGTGTTCTTGACTCAGGCCGTGTTCTGATCCCCGTGTGAAATTTGTTGTGAATGGCCAAAGTTTATCAGTCAGATATGTTGTCAGCATTCCTCTAACGAAGCCTTCAGCAGGAGTACAGAGCACATGTGGGCAGATGTGTTTCAGCGGCTCGTGGTATGCAGGGGGAGTGTAGGTAACGCCTGGTGCGCTGTTGTTGGAACGCTGTGATGAAGCATAACACCTGATGGATGTGAGGAGTTTGCAGACATGGTATTCTAATCTGTAGATGATGGAGGGTCACCGTGAACTCCACTCTCTGACTGGATAGTGAACCGAGGAGTATTTATGTGAAGCGTTTGGACTTTTGAACAGCGAAGAGAGTCAGGACCATCAGGTTTCATCTCTGACTAGTTGGTATAATGATAGCAGCAACAATTCATGGGGGAGAAGTGCTCAGTGCAAGATGGGAGTTCCCCCAGAGGTCCACACCTATAGCAGCATAACTAAGTGATGGTTCAGGACTCACCTGATCCAGAACTAACTATAGGCTTTATCAAAAAGGAAGGTTTTATGTTTAACTTTAAATGCAGAGATGGTGTCTGCCTCCAGAACCCAGAGTGGGAGCTGGTTTCACAGGAGAGGAGCCTGGTAGCTGAATGCTCTACCTCCTCTTCTACTCTTACAGACTCTTGGAACCACAAGAGCGCCTGTGTTCTGGGAATGAAGTGATCTATTTGGATAATATGGTGTTATCAGCTCTTTGATATATGAAGGGGCTTGATTGTTAATGGCTTTAAATGTGAAGAGCAGGATCTTGAATTCTATTCTGAATTTCACAGGGAGCCAATGTACAGAAGCTTAGACAGGAATAATATGATCTCTCCTTCTAGATCCTGCTTTTTATAAGATTTTGGAAATGAATGGCAGGTTTGATATGGGTTTATAATTAGCTAAAACATCTGAAGTGGGCTTGTTCAGCAGATGTTTAGTTACAGCTAACTTAAAAGTCTGTGGTACATAGCTGGTTAACAAAGACATCTGATTTAATATGGAATTGGCAGTTAGAGGAAAAAACAACTCGGGACAGAGTATAAGAGACAAGTTGATGGTTTAGAGAACGAAACTAGTGAAGTCCGTTTAGAAAGATCTATTGAAGAAAAGTGTTCCAAATAGAAACCTGCTGCAACAGGTCGTTCTATGGTTTCTTTACTAGATCATGTATCTGTGCTGTTCATGGGGAGGAGGTGGTGAATTCTTCCCCCGACGGTTGTAATTTTGTTTGTAAAGAAGCTCATGAAATCATTGCTCCTCAGAGTTAGAGGATAAATTATATTTCCTGGTTGTGGTAGGATTGTGTTTCGTGTGGTTAGTGTTTGATCTGGGTTAAACAGTAACCTTGACCTGCTGCGTGGGTCATTGGTTAAGTATTTCAACTTTTTGGTCAATGTTTAAGCAAAGCTTTTCACAAAATGAACCTCTTCAACAGCAAAACCTTCAAATTGAGCTTTTGTTTCTGCCAATAGATCCCTCTCATCTAAATCTTACACACTGAACCGTAAAGTCATGCTTCCATTTCAGCTGTAATCTCAGATCTCTAAACCTAAACCTTCAAATCCTTTCTGCTCTGTTGTTAAATGTCTACGTTAATTTTTATAAAAGCCTTGACTTTGTGGCTTTTAATCTGTACTGTGAAAATGGGAAACTGTATTCAGAAACATTGTGTAAATGACAATAGTGTATTGTTTTTTCAGAAAGCCACAGGACACATTGTTTGGATAGTTTCTATTCCAAGGCTGGGTTGGTGTTAATTAAATCTTTACAAATAATGTGAATTAAGTTATCTTCCATGACAAGCTAGTTCTGCTTTCACTGTGACTCTCTGTAGAGTTTCTGCGGGATTTTATAACTGTAGTGACATTTTTATTTAGTCAATTATTCAGCTTCAAAACATTTACAATCAAAAACATTAAATAAAAGTGAAAAGTACAAAAATATTCCAGTCCGTTCCTAAAGAAACTGATTTGTCAAACTTTAAAAACTCCTTTCATACGGTTCTTGGAAAAGCAAACTGTAAAACCAGCCAGAATTGCTCGGACAATGCAGGGATGTATTGCTCTCACCCTTGAGTCAGACTCATTAACATGAAATACCTCCAGCCACAATCACAAGCTTCTATCTGCAGCTCTGTCTCAGAGAACAAGCGTTCCCTTCCCCGAAACGCTTATCTTGTCCCTGACGGCATCGTTCTCTTGGCTCAGCAGCAAGAGACAGAAGAGACAGTAGAGACAGTAGAGACAGTAGCACTTGTCCTCACGCTGTGGTTTGGCAAAGAACTCGAGGACAATCGCAGAGACAGAAACCTGGAGTTTAGAGCTGGGCAGTGGGTTGGGGGGGGGGTGGATGGATCAGGGAGTGCTGTGGATGGATTAACTGAGGCTGTGAGTGTCCTCACTCAGGTTTGAGCGCTCATCCTGGGAGTGAACATCCACAGATCGCAGACACTGGGGAAGACTTTCCTCATACGCTGGTGGAGGCTGAAATCAGATTTAGAAATACTTTATAGATTCCAGGCAAAAAGTGTGTTTGTTACAATTGCTCCAAGTAAAAGTTAGAAATATAAGCATATACCATTAAAAATAAAATATATATATAATATGTTAATACTGTACATTGAATATTTAGTGCAAATGGATATGCATTGTAATGACTCTGGTCTGTTGACTCAGCCGTCAGAGAGTCCAGCTCCACCCCTAACGTCCCTGGCCTTGCGGATCAGTTTGTTGGAATGTGATAAAGTAAATATTAAGTTGTAACATACTCTGAGACATAAACATCAGTTTGCTTGTCAGGGAGAGGTAACTATTAAGCTGGAGGAGGCACTGTGGCTCTTCTGTGTTTACAGAGGAGCTCTCAACTGTCTGAAGCCATTTTCAGAACAAACTAACTAGCGTACTAATAAACCAACGAAATAATGAGTTAACGGACTAACAAGCAAACTAATTAACCAACAAACTAACAAAGGAACAAACAAACAAATTGGTTGGTTGGTTCGTTTGTTAGTTTGTTGGTTTGTTGGTTAGTTCGTTGGTTCCTTGGTTCCTTTTAATGGACCAAACAGAATTTGTCATTGCCCACCTCATCATGGCAGCCAAAGAGGCCGAAGCGCTGTGCGATCATGCTGTGGATCTGCCTCTGTCTGTCCTTCCTGCGAACGCTCTCATAGGAAGGCAGCCTTGGCAGGGGCCCCTCCATGTGGTAGTCATTTGGCTTCCCTATGATAAACAGCCTTCCAGGAGCCTACACACACACACACATTATTCTGATAAGGAAACAGCTCCAAAGATACATTTGTGATATTTTCAACAAGTCTCCTCAGCCATGATCTCACCTGCGGCCCGACAGCAGCCTGGTTCATGGCAGCACTGTGCTCATCATAGCCAGTGCCCACCAGTGTGTGTCTGCTGTTGTAATGAGGTAGTTCATCCTCAGAAGGGAACAAACACTTTCAGTTCAGGTTCATGGCAAATTGTTCCATGCATTGTTTCATTTTCTTATTGTTACTTTTCAAAAGGGAGATTTTGAAAAGTGTTAATTTCTGCCAATTCACTAATAATCGCTAATTCTGTTCCTCATATTTCTCTTTCTATATCTTTTCCCTTCATGTTCAGACAGGAAATGTTTAGATTCAGTGGTGACAGAGGCCAGGACACAGGGCTTCCTTTTCATGATGTAATTTGATGCTCACTATGCTTTATCAGTCATCACAATTATTTCTTTTATTACATTATATTTGGTACAGACTAGTGCAAATGCATAGATGGTGGATTATTGGTGAGGTCAAATGTGGTTTCTCACAGGCTAATCCTGCCATGTGTCCACCATTTTATATGATTTATTATTATTGATCTGCTATTTTTGTAAATATCTACTATGTTAAATCTATCTTAATACTCTTCTGTCTGTGTGTCAGGGGCTTGAAAATTTAATGTTAACCTATTTCTGTGTGGAGTGATGAACTATTAGATTTACAGTGTGTATAATGATGATGCTGGGTTGTTCTTACTGTGTGGTGTTCTGCTGTGTAGGGTCGGAATCTGCAGCAGAGAGGGTCTTTTCTGTACAGGACCACAACCAGCATCAGGATCACTAAACAAAATGCTACACAGGACACTGAGGTGCAGGAGAGAAACAGCACTCAGTTAGAAAAAGAACGTTGACATACAGTTACAGTATTAACAAGTAGAAGACACAAATATAATGAAAGGACAAGGAATGAACTCGTAATCTGATAAGACAACAGTTTTGTTAGTTTACTGAAGTTCTGTAACATTAAAAGATCTTAAACTGATCTGAAATACAGTTGATTTGTTGATTGCACATAAACTTAAATTAAAAGAAAGAATAACATTGTGTAACCGGTAATGCACTGTCTCTTAATATGTTCAAAAACCCTCAGTTATTTAATTGTGTGCATAGAAAAGTGTAAAACAACTCTCACATTACCGCATTGACTTTTGTGTACAAAACTAGTCTAGTTTTCATTTTTCTGGAATGAGCAAACTGAAATTTACAGTGATTTTACAACTAATCAAATTCAATTATTTGTATAGCCCCAAATTCCCAACATATATTATCCAGGGACTTGACATATTAAGGTCAAGTCTTTAAGGCTAACCCATTGCAATGTTATAGAAAGAAACCCAACACTTCCCCCAATGAGCAAACACTTGATGAGAGTGGAGAGAGACTCCCATAAACAGGAAGCAACCTCCATCTGAACCAGACACCGCACATTTACTGCTGTACCCAGCAGCTAAGTGTTTTGAACAATCAGATCTTCATAAAAGAAAGAAAAGTGAAAATCAAGCAAATTTAGTCACAGACTATTTATTGGTGATATTATTGAAACATTATTTTGCTTCATTTAATGTCTCACCTCTTTACACACTTCACTCAGTGCATGAGAAATCATTAGAGAGCACCTCCATTTCAAAGTTTTATCAGCATGACATCCCCTAAAATTGATCATACTGCACAAACTGAAAAAAGTGTTGTACCTACCTGAAGTCAAAATGACAGTGAGCAGCTCTGGGGCCATCGCAGGAATCTCTCTTGGTGGTCGGATCAAACTTTTTCTCTCTTCAGTTGGAATCCCAGATTCACATTCATCTTGAAAACAAGAATAAGTCCTTTGCATTCGAGCTTATGGAAAACGTCCAACTCTAACTTTGTCAGAGCACTACACACACACAAGCCTTCAGGATTGTGCAGCAGGTAAACATTAACACCAAGTCAGGAGAGGGGTTGAGTTTCCAGCAGAAATAACTCACCTCTAACTACTGGGGGGGGGGGATCCTGAACCACATTGTCTGCAAAGCTGAGTCTTGTGCAGACTCTAGTGGAAGTTAGTGGAGATGCGAGAGGATCAGGCTACTTTAAAGTGAATACTGATGAATGAGAATGATGATTTGTGGCTGTTTTAAGAGTGCGCTGTCACACAATGAATAGTTGAATAAATAAGATGTCCCTTTTAAATTAGGTCATACTGTAAATGTCCCCTTTGTTTGCCAGATTTAAGAGAGGAATGAGAATGTGAGATGCAGTATGTAAAGAAGAACTGCAGTTTAGTAAATCAAACAACACAGCAAAGCAGAAAAAAAATAATTTTAGTACCTTTCTGACTTCAGTTGATGCTGCAAAACTCAAATACAGAACAAATGTTCTTTGATAATTTCCCCCCAAACTTATGTCAACTAAAATAGTTTTCGTCCGAATCTTGAAAAATCAAAGCACAATGTTCATTTTGTCACTGCAATGCACAAGATTACAGAGCTTTTATTTTGAAAAGATGTGAACTTGCTTGTCAGACCTCTGTAATAGCTGACACACAATATGAAATACCAGTGAAGTAAATCATTCAAACTTATATAGGCCTATAAGCCGGATACATGAACTGTAACTCCTCTCCTCCCCCCTTTTCTTTGCTCCCCCTTGCACCGGTTGAGGCAGATGACTGTCCACATTGAGTCTGGTTCCAGAGGTTTCTCTCTGTTAATGAGGGAGTTTTTCCTCCACAGTCTCCAAAGTGCTGCTCATTGTGGGAACTGTTGGGTTTCTATATATTAAATACGATCTTAAGGTCCTGACCCTCTATGTAAAGTGCCTTGAGATAATGTGTATTATGATTTGGCACTATACAAATACAATTGAATTGAATTAATAAAGCAAGTTTCATTTTTTGAAAAACATTGGATTTCAAATCTTCACTGCAGATAAACCAGGTATGATGAACACAAAGTTTCCTCACTTCACTCAGCACCACTTGTACATTTGTGTCCCATGTTGGACAAAGCTCGGACTTTCAGTGACACAAGCCGGCATCATTCATCTTTCTCCTCATTCACTCCATCCTCCTCCTCATCTTTCATTCTAAGGAGCGTCATGTCGTTCTATGAATGGCCGCTCACCAGCATCATCCTCCTCCTCCTCCTCCTCCTCCTGCTCCCATCATCCCTCACCCCCTCTCCTCCAGTGATACTGTGTGTGGCGTGACGCTCTTGAACGATCACGACATGACTGTTTAAATGTTAAGTGATGGAGGCAGACGTCCGCAGACTGTGATTCACTCTTAAGGAGGGGAGAGCGAGAGAGGCAGGGATAGAGAGAGAGAAAGAAAGACAGAGAAAGACAGACAGAGAGAGAGAGCTTTGGTTCAGTCTCTCTTCTCCTCTCCAGGCTCCCCCACTGTTGAAAGCGCGCAGGGAGGACGGAGGCATCATGGAGCGGATGGAGTCCATGGAGCCGATCTCGGCGAACTACACCACGGCTTACCCGGAGATCCAGCCCGACAGCGGCTACGGCTCCGGAGAGACCGAGAGCCAGGCGAAGACTCCACCAGCCCCGACGTATGACGAGGACTTAGTGCACAAGGTATGGAGCGCAACATGTTTTAAAACCAGGGGATGTGTTAGTGAGGTAATAGAAGAAATCAGAAAGTGCCTCTGTGATGGAGCGTGATGCTGATCTCCACTTGGCTGAGAGGTTTGTTCCAGTTCTCTGCACTGCCCGGCAGATTTCCCCCAAAAACACACACATGCACACACACGCAGCTGTTTATCAGGGATTTGCATTGACTTCTGTTCATTGTGGACAGCCTAACCTAACCAGTGCATGCCTAGCTCTAACATTAACCTAACCACTGTTCACATCTTACCATCATTTAACCAGGGACCTCACGAATCAAGTTTTGACTCCAAAGGTTTTGGTCCCATGCTGGTCCTGACAAACTAAATGGTAAATGGTCTTTATTCAATTACATTACATGTTTTGCCATTACACTGCATCTTGCACATCAATCACATGCAAATTTAGGGTTCAGTATCTTGCTCAAGGACACTTCGGTAGAGAATGATGGAGACTGGGAACAAACCACCACTCTACCTCCTGAGCCATGCAGGGTTTATGCTTGAAAAGCAGTGATGAGGTAACAAAAACAAGTACACACACACACACACAAACACACTTTGAGTAGATGTGTGCTCGTCATCATCACTGGTAACAACTCCACTTGTTTTTCTCTCGCTGAGTTACGTGGAGGCAGAATGGCGTGCATCATGGCAGAGTGATAATCTGGCATCCAGACTGTAAACATGTCCCTATGGTGAGGCTGCCAACAGTGTCAGCTGTCTCCCCTTCGGAATTAAGACATTAAAAAAAAACCTTTTTTTTATCCACCACTTGTTATCTCAGTGGGGAGGGACCTCCTTCAGAACACATCTGATCATTGAGGTGGAGGACAGACAGAGGGAGGTGCAGTAGAACCCCCCCCCCAATTAAAATAGAACTACACATATTTAAAACATCAAAATCTGTTTCCAGGGGCTGAAGAGTGCAATCAAGTGTGGGAATAATGTTGTGCAAAGCCTTTTGTGGCCCCAGGGGGACGTTTGTCAAGTCTGACAAATTACCTCAAGTGAGGGTGGCGTGTAGAGGTGGGTGTGTGCTTCACGGTACACTTTCACCCATTCAAACAATGCATCTGTCTGATCTTTATCACACGTCTCTAGGAAATCGAACTGCCGCCCCTCTGATTAGTGTACAACCCACACTACCTCCTGAGCCACAGCCCCCTCTGATAGATAATTACAATGTATCTACCATTTGTAATTAAAAAATATTATTGAGTAATAATGACGTGTTCTCATAACTGCAGCGACCATGTCAAGCAGTTAAGGCTGCACTCGCCTACACACATCCACGAATCATGAGTCCAGACTCCGGTGATTCACTATATTCCTTCCAGTGCTGACCTTTGACCTGTTTATAGACAGAACCAAGAAAAAGAGAATCTCCCCTTAGGCTTCAGTGAAATGTCACATTCTTTTATATTTTATTTCAGGAACAGCTTCAAGTTCATTGTGAGGGGAGTCAGTCAAGGCCTGTGTTATTTTTATATCTGGCCTTTAGTTTGCAACGCCCTGCTTCCCTTTTTAATATTGGTCGCTGTGGGAAATAAGCGTGCGCACAGATACTCTTATATTTATAATGACACTTGACATGAAATCTGATATGATAGCATTTGAATTATTGATTTAGTTCCTCAGACCGAGACTGTAGCTCAGCCAATTTATGTCATTAGTGAGAGTTTAGTGAGATGTGAGTTTCCCCAAAGGGGCTGATGGTCTGATGAGACATAAACCCGGTTACCCTAATGTAACCCCAAGGCTCTTTGAAACAGCTTCCTTTAATTGTCATAGTTACTTTGTGGGCCTCTGTGTGTGTGTGTGCATGTCGTATGGGGAGCAGGTGTTTTGCAAAAGTGCATATTATCGCAAACCAAGCTTTCAAAGAAGTCGGGAACAATACTTTTAGGTAGGAGCAATCTGTCCATTTTGGCCTCTATTATTTCTCTGTCTGTTTTTTTTTCTTCTTTCGCATTAGCTTCTTTTGTCTCTGTTCTATCTCAGCTCTGTTTCCCCTGAGGAGCCATGATTACACAACAGAGCAGGAGCTTGTTTGAGTGCTCTTCAGTTAGGCCAGTGGTTAGATATGGAGCTGAAATGACTCCGTGCATTACACACTCTCTTTATCTTTCCCCACCATGGTGATATTAAGCTCCAGCCAACAGTTTTATTAAAATCAATACACTGTTGATCTTGTGATATATGAATCAATGTCTTCTTTGATTTAGTGAATTATTCTTTAAAGGTCTTTAAAGAATAATTCATTTGAATTCATTCCTCAAATCCTTTTAAAAGACTAAAAGTGTTCCTCTCTCTCATGTTCTGAATATAAATGGGTTGTATTTATATAGTACGTTTCTAGTCTTGATGACCACTCAAAGCACTTTACAGTTCAGTTTGCCATTCACACGCATCATACTGTGCATCTAACAACAACTGTACAATATAAAATATTGTTTATATGAACAAAGACTAGGTATATTGTGAAAAATCAATCAATCAAATTTTATTTCTATAGCCCATTTTCACAAATCACAATTTGTCTCACAGGGCTTCTCAAGGTGCAACATCCTTTGTCTTTAACCCTCAACAATAAGAAAAAACTACCAAAAAAACCTATTAACAGGGGAAATACATTGGATTTGCTGTATTTAGGCAGCAAATCCAGTAATGGCAGAATATGTGAGTAGGCAAATTGTTAAGCCGTCTTGTTGTAATCATTGTCCATGATCAGCTGCCACCACTATCAGGATCCACCGTCACGATCCACAATCCAAAATTAGCTCATTGTTGATGAAAATGAAAACCCCAATCTCCAGTTCCCTTCAGGGCTACAGAGCACTAATGTCTTCCAGCATACAGTTTTGGTTTTTACGGCCCACAAATAACAGGCAGCTGTTTCATGTGTTTCCTGTGTTTTAGGCACATAAATACAGGGATTGTGTATTGATCTCTTTTGTGCTTTCAAAAGTCAGGGGACCTACAAATCAATACAGTGCCTTAACGCCTGCTGTGTGGACAATGCTGCTCAAATTACGCCACATCGTTTTCCTATAATGCTACGGTGAAGTTGTTTTACTGAACGTATTCTATTGTGTTTGTTACAACAGTTCCTAAAAAGACCAGTTAACCCACATAATGATGTTTCACACTCATGCTGAGGTCATGTATTTCAATGTAGTATCTTATTTAAGTGACAGTATTGCTATCTGTAAATGTTCAGAGTTATTTTATTTTCAAATACTTTCTTTAGACATTATTTTACATAACAGAAACTGTAATAGATGCATTTATTCATACAGTTTTCAAGTACAAAAGCAATGTTGTAAAGTTGTGTCATCCATCGCACTGACCTACAAAATGGTAAGCTTCTCTAATTTGCTTCTCTTCTGTGACTTTGAATCCCAGCAGTGCTGTGTCATAAACTGTCTAAATCAGTGGCAACATGAGAACTGTCAAGCTAAATTACACAGTGGCCCGCTTCGCTTTAGTTTTCCCGAGTGATCATCAACAGAACCTAAGAACTGCAAATTTACCATTTGTTACACTGCTGTACAGTGAAGGGACTTCCACACTTGACTCAAGGGCGGGAAATTCTCTGGCACTTAACAATCCTTTGGATGAATAAATAATCTCTCTCTCCTCATCACTCTCTCCCCACACCACGCGCAGACGCTCATGTGCACAATATACTGCTTATATCATCCACGTCTAATTTCCGGACATCTGTGATGCTTTCACTTAATTGCCTCCTGGCTCCTCGGGGGTTTATGAGAAAGGCTGACTTCCCAGCTAACCCCTGTTACCATGGAAACAGCGTCATTCTCTTCTCCCACCACAAATCCTACACATACATCCTGTTCCTCATCACGTGTGCATATGCATTTGTAATTCTACCAGCAGTTTTTTTTCCCCTCTGTTGGTTCTGTCCTCACACACTCACAAGCAGACATTATCTTACATGCTCTCAGTGACTTCCAGTAAACAGAAAAGGTTTTATTACGTCATAGAAGGATCAGATGATAATAATGTTGCTGCTGGTTTGTAATATGTTTTGTGTTTTAGTCCCAGCCAGTGTGTGTGAACATTTCTGATCTTGCAATATAATAATATAAAATGATATAATAGAATTACCCCAATGTGTGAATTAAGACTATATTTTGCTGTATTAGGGTCCCTTGAAGGTAAAAACAAATATCGGAGATTTCAAGAGTAAAGATGTAATATTGTGAGAGAATAGTGGTAAATTAAGGAGAATAAAGCATAAAGTGTATTTTGGTGAGTCAGCCAACTCAATAAAATACATCTGCATTACCTCTGTTTGAAATCAACTGTTGTTTCAATGGTTGTTGTTGTTCAGTATGCTAGTATGCTAAAATGTAAAAAGTAGCTCCATTCACTGAGATGAGGCTGAAAGGAATGATGCTCCTCATCTTCCAACAACTAGACATGCAAGTAAAGTTACATTTAGAGACACAGGGAAAATATTTACAGCCTAGTTTTTTGAGACAACCAAAAAACTTGTTTGTTGAAGAGATCCAGACTAAGTGGTCTGAAACATGTGGCAGCCCTTATTTTTCACGCTGGTTCCAATCCTCCACAAGCATTGAGCGTTTTATTGCTTTACCTTTTCATCACGGATTAAACATTCATCCTTGTATGCATGATTCCTCTTTCACTCGCTCCATTGGCGTATGATTCAAATGCAGACCAGCTAATTGAAGTCCCTGTTGACGCCTGAGAAAAGCTGATGTGAAAATTCAGAAGTAGGATCTATATTTGCTCCCGTGCTGAGCGGTGGCACTTCCCTGTTGGTTTATTCAAATCCCTGAGATCAAAGTCAAGCTATAAGACCTGTAACTGTGAAGAAAAGCTGCTTGAGCCTCTCAACTCTAATCCTCCCTCCACCTCCCTTTCAGCGTATATCGTTCATAAAGCGTTGAGATGAAACTGAGCTGCAGCTGAAAGTCGGCCTGGTTCAGCGGATTTTCAGTTTTAACCTGACTTCACTTTCAACTTTCTTGCTGTGTCTTGCTTGTTTGGCACTTCAGTTTGATTGGTCCAAGCTTGAGGTCACTTTCTCAATCAGGGCAGTTTGCTACATTAAACCAGGACCGTGTATAGGTGTTCAGAAGAGGGTGAACCAAGACCAGGAACTAGGAAGGTTGGGGTCTCTGCTAGGGAGCTTGCTCTTTCCGAAAGTACAAAGTGGGGCTTGCAGCACTGAACTTTTCTGAGATTCTGTCTTCAAATGCACAAGATGGCAGCATTTGTATCTGGGGCATTTTGATTTCATTTCTGGGTGGAGGGAGGAAGTGGAGACATGTCGTCCGACATATATACAGTATATAGTCATACAAACACTGCCTGTCTGACACTTGTTGCATAGTTGTCTGCATTACTGACGTGGATCAGCTTGTTGGCTTTTCATATGCCAGCAGGCCACAGTGGGAAAAAAAAGACAAACGGTTTGAAGGAAACTTTTAGATCCTTTAAGTTTTGGTTGAGTTCATATTACAGAAATGACAGGAAATGAAAGAAGAAGGTTGACTTGCGTGTGTGGAGGTTTTGAGTTCCTCAAAGTGGGCAACAATTGAAAAGACAGGCCTGTATTGACTGCCAGGCCCTGCTGACTAACTTGGTTGCTTGCATGTTGCCTTTCATTGATTTTATTGTTCTGAAGGTTATCTTCCTCAGCCAATGAGTCACACTGTAATAGCAGCACACTGCCAAGCTTTTGTAAAGCCCAATATTGTTTGTGCTGCTTGGAAACTGAAGTGTCCACCGTGACGCAGGTGCTGACTCACAACCCTAAATTATGAAATGATTGTTCGATATCAGCCAGCATGGGATTTTCGAGGTTGGCTCTAACTCCATTATAGACCACTTAAAGTCATTTTACTCATACTTTATCTAAGTACACCCACTGAGCACATTACCCATACTGGGTAAGGCTTTGATTTTGCTCTTAAATGGTCTTTGTGACACAAATTCAACAAAATGCCAGTAGAAAAGTGGCTGTGGCTTAGGAAGTAGAGCAGGTCTGCGACTGAGCCTGGTCTGTTGACTGCAGGCAGGTTGCGTTTGTGGATTCATGCTGTTCATGTCAAATTCTGACCTGACCATCTGCAGGCTCCTGGCCAGGCTGCTTTTATTTCCAGTTCTCAGCCGTTCAGTGCTCGTGCCTACTGGAGTGGAACCTGATGTGACCTCCCGCCGCTCTACCTCAAAGTGGTAACGAGTGGTTATGAGTGGTTATCTGAGTGACCACAGCCTGGTTGCCGTTTCTTTCTGAAACTATAAAGGTGACCTGCAGTAACTGAGCCATAGCAGGGGAAGATTTGCTGCAGGACGCAGAACCCTGACGTCACTGCTGCAGCACAAAAAGCTGTTCACCTGTTTACTCAAAGTTTGGTGAAGGTAGACTCAGTATGCAGAACCCAGAACTGAACTAGAATCAGTCCTGAACACTGTTATGATCGATGATGTCACTTGCATTGATGAGCCTGTTAAATGGGTCGCTTGTCCAAATCATACCAAATTCCACTGCACTTAATTGAGCTCTTAAAAGTACACATGCTCACAATATGTATTTCACAAACATACAAACATGTATGGAATAATTAGGAAAATACCGCCCCCCTCCCCCCAACATCTGCTCCCCGGGCACTGACAACGGCAGCCCACTGGTCCAGTATATGTGTTTACATGGCATCCGTCTATGTGTGTTTCTATGCATGTGCGTGTTTCGACAGGTGCCAACTGGATGGGTTAAATGCAGAGAACAATTTCATGTATGCGTGTAAATAGTGTAAAAAGATGACATGACAATTCATACAGTGCATCTATGTGCAGCACTCTTTCTAGGGGCAATTCAGGGCTCAGTATCTTGCCCAGGGACACTTTGCCATGCAGATGGGGAAGACTGGAATCGAACGGTAGTCTGAAGAGAACATTATTGAAGCTTCTGTCCTGTGTCTGCATGATTTCATGCATTGCACTCGTGTAACACGATTGGGTGACTGGATAATTGCATAAGCAGGTGTATTACCGTTCCTAATAAAGTGCTTGTGTGTATGTAAAACTCAGCAGCGTCACTGTTGCTGACTCCCGAGTGTTCTGTGTGTTGTTTCCTGCAGACAATCCTGGTCGGGGACAGTGGAGTGGGAAAGACGTCTCTGTTGGTGCAGTTCGATCAGGGCAAGTTCATTCCTGGCTCCTTCTCTGCAACAGTGGGCATTGGATTCACGGTGTGTGTGTGTGTGTGTGTTGGTCGTGTGTGTGTTTGCATGTGTTTGTGCATGTTCAGTTTGTGTGTGTGTGTGTGTCTTTAGTGCATGTCCGCTACATTCTCTTTTAAAGTTCAGTGGGAAAAGTCCCATGTTCAAGTGTCACTTCAACAAAACAGTTTCTCATTTATCAACCGTGCTGTTAGTTTTGGCTCCATTTGCCCAGTTTAAATATAGGTGAAGATTCCTGGCTCTGCTTCAATACAGTGACGATAAGGGGGATTTTGTATTATAAAGTTATACACACAAAAACAATTTTTTTCTAGAGAATGTTCCTTTTTTTCAGCTGGATAATACACATTTCAGATTCACACATACAGAAAACAGAAGTGCAACTACATAACGGTCCTTCAAACACGGCAACAACCTAATAATTCTCTGTGACATGAATTAAATGAGCTGCTTGTACGACCAGAAACCATAGAAACATATTGCTCAGGAAATGAACTTCTTTGCTGCACACCAGCACAGTGACTCAGGCAGCGAGAGGACCTGTTCCGTGAAGTCTGTGTGTGTTGGCCCCTGTTGCAGTTTTTCACTCCAGGATGTTCCTACTTGTTCCTCGAGTGTGTTCTATTCTATTTATGTTCTAGAGGGAAAAGGTTTGACTCACTAATAGCCTGCAGACTGGATTATTTTTTCATGGCAGGTTGTTTTGATGGAGGCAGGTTTTATTTTAGAAGTAAAATGGTGGATGGAAAACTTCAAAGTTCACTACACGTCCTCATTTAGTGAAGCTTGGTGATTATTCTTTGGAGTCTCTTCTGTGGAGCGTTGAGAGGTGGGATGAAATGGTAACACACTTGCAAACATATAATGGAGTAATAGGGCCATGCTGAAGGAAAAAAAGTTTGAGATTTCAAGAATAACATGGTAAAATGATGAGAAGTCAGAATTCTTTGAAGACTAATTGTACTTACTTGATTCTTGCTGTTCTGGGTTTGTACCCTCATGGCTGAATGCACTAATTGTAAGTCACTTTGGATAGAAATGTCAGCTAAATGATATGTAATAATAAAATAGAGAATATAGTATAAAGATAAAAAAAAGTAGTTCCTTATTACTCAGTTTCCTAAACAATCTTCTCAAAGTCCTAAAACTTATAATCATGTGGAGCTGATGAGCCAAAATATGAAGTATGTTGTTATGTGTATACTAAAGAACAACTTACATACTAACATATTTCTTCATTTGAACACAGACAACAGACTGATCTTCTGATTCAATTTGTAATCATTAAATCCATGCATAGCAATAATTTAAAGTTGTCCAAAATAAAAAAGTTTCCTCTTTTGACTTTCAAACCATTTTTAACCAAGTAAGACAAATTGATTATTTTAAATTGTTAATTAATTTAAAAAGATAATATTAATTCTTCTTATTAATGACTTCTCAGAGCACATTCCCTCAGAACAAATATTTCTTGCCCAATCTTTTTTTTAACATTGCACATCCATTTCCACATTTCGAAAACATACATGGTGAGACTCACCATACAAGTAAAACATAAAAAGAGGGACACTGATTTATAGAAAAGGTGATGCTGCTGTTTTTACATGTATTCTTTCAGTATTTCGGAACAGAGGCCGAAATCTTACAACCAGCACAAATAAAGTGGAAAACAATCTGCAAGAAAGTTACTCTTTTTTTAGTGAAGGAATGAATCCTTTACTATGTCTGGTCATCATCTGTTCTGTTTCTGTACATTATTTAAAATCTGCTTCTGCTTCTCGAAGAACAAAGTGGTGACTGTGGACGATGTAAAGGTCAGACTACAGGTCAGTGAGTTCCTCGGTGTGCTTTCACAACAACAGCCTGTTTTTAGAACGCAGGCTGGTTTCATTTTGGGCACCATGTGTTGTGACAGAAAATTATAGTGAAACCAGGCCACATCACCAAGTATAGCTTTTTTTCCTACTTTCTGTTTTAGATTTGGGACACAGCAGGACAGGAGAGGTTCAGAAGTGTGACACACGCATATTACAGAGACGCACACGGTACGTCAACTTACTGAGTCACAGATTTGCTTTTTACTGCTTACAGTTATATAGACACTTGCATTATTAAACGTACGTTAATCTGTTGTTTTTTTTGTCTCCGAAGCTTTACTCCTCCTGTATGACATCACCAGCAAATCGTCTTTTGACAACATCAGGGTAAGTCTTGGCGATTCAGTGTGGACACATATGGAAAACAGTGGGTCGGGAGGAAGGGGAAGTGTTCTAGAGTGCGTGGGTGTTTTATAATTGACCTGTACATATCTGTCTGTCTCTGTTGTTCCAGGCATGGCTAACAGAGATCCATGAGTATGCGCAGAGCGACGTAGTCATCATGTTGCTGGGCAACAAGGTGAGATTGGAATAGTTTAAGAAGCTCAGCAAGTGAAGGGAAGAGTGTAAGAGAGAAGGAGCATGTACATGATGCATTTTATGAAAGAAGCAAAAGCATTTGGAAACATTTTTACAGGAACTAACTGGCAGAGTGAGGTTACCACCAAACATATTCTGGATCAGCAATAAGATGAAAGGGTTCAGAGTCCAAACCGAAATGAGATCTGTATCAGGAGCTCGTCCCACTGTTATAGCTGTTGCCTAGCAACACAGCGGAAGTTGGACAGGCCGATGAAGTTTAATGCCCTTCTGCTGTCCAGTTGAGTTTAAGCATGATATCACGGTTTATCACTGAAGCAAAATGAATCCTGGGACAGGTTGGGCCGGGAAGGATCCACCTGTAGGAGCTTTTTCTTTCTCAGGGAGGGAAGGATGCAACTGTCAGCCACATTTGACAGAGCCTTCAATGTGGGACAGCCTAGTCACACACTGTGATGTAATCAGCAGCTTCTGAAGGATGTGGCAGAGCTGTATATATTTATGTAGCAGGGCAACCAAGCAATGCCCTGATGAGGAGGAGCCTTTACATCTTGAAAGAGTGAAATCCAGAATCCTCTTTTACGCCCGTGACTACAAGAGAAAATCCTGGACTCTACTATAAACTAGGATTTCTTTTCAAGACTGAAATATCTAAATAGATTTGTCAAGACTCTTATTTTGCCACAAAGTAAACAATGTATTTTATCCAACTACTTGCTTAGATGAAGTGTATTTGTTTTGTAAGATGTTAAAAATCCCAGCCCGGTTTTAAACTGTTTTCATCACTTGGTTTTGACCGCATTGGTTCCAAAACTATTACCCCACAATTTATCGATTATTAACAATGATAATGGGAAGCAACTAATAAAAAATTGATTTAAATAGAATTTGGGGGAAGTAAAGGTCAGAATGAAAACACCCACAAGCTCCTCAGTCGTATTCATTCAGCTTGGTTTCCCTGCTTGTTTTTCCTCTGGTGGATCACCGCATCAGGCCGACATGAGCAGTGAGAGAGCGATCAGGAGAGATGAAGGAGAGAGGCTGGCCAGGGTGAGTCATTCATTCACTACTGTACAACCACAGCTGATACTGTTTTTTATTGGTAACATAACAGCCACAATGGACACTGCATTTATTACACCTGGTGTCAGGGTGACATTTGAATCTGGCTACCATCTTATGTTAACGGACCCTGAACGGTGGCTAGACTTACTATCCTCCAGTGGGTTCAAACTCAATTTAGAATGTTTACTGCTCTCTACTCTCTAAATGATTGTTCACCGGTGGTTGCTCCTCTTCATGTCTACAGGAGTATTCAGTTCCCTTTATGGAGACGAGTGCCATGACCGGAGTCAACGTAGAGCTGGCCTTCACCGCTGTGTCCAAGTATGAAACGCACAATGTCACATAATGTTGTAACTCTCATCCTCTGTATCTCCTTTGAGCTCGACGCTGAGTTGACTCTGCTGCTTTCAGTCATGCACTGAACTCCAGAGAACCTCCAGACATTCTCTGGAGGGTCTATATGTATGAACGCAGCATTCCCCATGAGCTAGTGGGCGTGTTGATGACGTCTCTAACAAGATTCCAAGAGAGCTTTTGGTGATAGGGGCCGACGCCAGTGTTGATGTGCTGTAAACAAAAACACACGATCTCTGCAGCAGAATTATTACATTACCTCCTGCCTTTGCCTGCAGCAACATTCCCCTGAACGCTCCTGAGATTTCTGTGTTGTTGTGAACGTGTCTGGGTGGAGAATCTCCTGCTGCATTGTGCTTCATTAGTATGGAAGTGATGCTAATGTTACATTTGTCTGATGGTGCTTGAACTTTGTGTATTTTTCCTCTGGAGCAGGGTACTATTATATTCCATGTAAGCCTTGTTTAACTCATTTGTGGTTGATAGTTCGGTGATCATGTGTGGACTAATGAGTATATGTCAATCTAAACACCAGCCCTCCTCATAAAAGTCAGTTGATATCACGTGTTTTTGATTGATTTTGCAATAATTATTTTTGTTAAATCATGTAATGTAAAGTAGTCACTGTTTCATCAGAAGATTTCAGATATTTAGCCATTTATTACAGTTTCAATACATTTTCGCTCTCATTCTTACTGAATAACATATGTTTCCATTACATGTGAACATAATTAAAGGATCAGTTTAATTGGGTTATTTTTATGAATTACACAGTTTAATGGATTTTTTAAGAACAAAAAACTTTTATACTTTAAAACCCTTAAAAAATATTAACTGAGATTAATATCCAGTAATCTACCATTTTAAGTTGTTGTTCAAATCCATGGCTTTCTCCCTTTATTTATCATTTATATATTTTATTTATATTCATTTATATATTAATTTACAAACACTCATTTATGTAGAATCTCATATTTGTTTTTGTCCCTAAAATGACCAATTACTGCATACCTGTAAAGTTTAAGGTTGTTTTTACCCTGTTATAAAATTCAATTCTCCACAGATTCATTATCGGTTCGAATGATCCATCCATATTGTTTGGAGAACTATCTGATGTGTGGTTCTGTTCTTCAGGGAGCTGAAGCACCGAGCCATCCAGCACCCCAGCGAACCAAGTTTCCAGATCCATGAATACATAGAAGCACGGAAGGAGAAGTCAGGCTGCTGCAGCTACTTCTGAATCTCCAGAGTCCTCCTCCATACACTCTGCCTGAACAGACTGCTGAGTAGGAGGATGTCCTGTTAACTCACTGCTGCTCCCAAAATATGATGGTGCCATTCACCCAAGACAAAAAGCCAAAAGAAGAGCAGTGGAGGACGAACCAAGCTACAAACTCCAAAAACTGCTGAGAGCAGTTTCTCCAATACTTTAGACTGATTTGTATCATTATGATCAATATAGATCATTATTATCTACTGAATATTTGTAGACAGTTGAAGCAAAGCCTTACAGTATGCTATTTGCTTTCTATAGGAGAGTGAGATGATGAGGTCAATACAATTTCATAGGTCAACTAGTTTAGCATATACAGAAGGTAGAAGTACACATCTAGCCTAGATATCCCACTGTCTTTTCTTATCACACCTGAACACATGTCAACGTGATAAGAATTACTAAGATGACCAAAAATTCCTTTCATGTGTTCTTTGAATTCTAAGTTGCAGCCAGCCACCAGGGGGTGATCAAGATCATTTTGCTTTACTTATGAGGAGCCATCATGTCGACCATCTTTATATACAATCAGTGGTACAAATACATTTGTTCGATACTTACAGGTAATTCAAGTAAATTCATGGTATTCTCGTATCACTAACGTCAGCATGCTATCATGTTCATAATGATGATGCTAGCATGTGTGATACACAATAAAAGGGTTACCATCTTTTGTTTTGCATGGTGATATGCTAAAATGTACTAATAACCACGAAACAAACAATACAGCTGAGGTTGTTATAGGAACACTTGCAATCACAGTCTATTCTCAGGGAATATGAATTTCTGAATCAAAGTTTTAATCGTCTTTGTTGAGACATCTCAGCAGAAAACACAGGTCAACATTAACTTTATGGTGGCGCTGCATCCTCTGATGAGCATGAACATCTGCACACATTTCCATGTTAATTGGTATTTGTTGTTCCTAACACTGCTAAAAAATACACCTACAGCTACATGTAGGCCTGCCACAATTTTTTTCTTGCTGTGTACATGTACACAGTCACTGCTCAGTTGTTCAAGAATGAAAACTATAAACTTCCTTTTTTACATTTGTTTTTGTTAGAGGAGATAGAGGAAATTGAGTAGAAGTGTTTAGTCATATTTTAGACAAGGGTAGGATGCTAGCTGGTGTGGCAATATGAGTAGTATTAACCTTGTCATCTAACGCTCAGCAAGAAAGCAAATGAGGCTGTTTTCCAACATGTCAAACTATTCCTATTTATTATTTATGCAAGATCATTTTCGTTGATATTTTTTGATCATTCGCCTTACAAAGTCACTGCCGCACCACCATCGTTGCTGCATCCTTGTGTGTCATGTGACCAACCAACCAATCCAGACAAAGGCCACACACTGTGTCATGGATTCCGATTCAAAGCCAAGTGTGTGGACACAAGCCCTGCCTGTCCGTGACTAAATCACACTGCTCCATTCTTCAGAAACTCCTCCATAGGTGACAGCTGGAGAAAATGCTGATGTGTCAATGATGAAAAAAAATGTTTTGGTCACCTGACATGTGGAGGATGGAAGATTGCTTCATAAAACTAAACTGAATATGAGATACAATAATCTGTGGTTGGATTTCGGATTTTGTCCTTCATTTCGGAAACACCTATGTATTTGTGAGTGAGTCAACAGACTTTTGATAAATGTTTTGTTAACATGTTGGCTGCATTGTTTTCTCCTAAAATGTATATTTATTTATCTATTTATTTATTTCCGTTTGCATGTTTGCTGGATTGCATGTAGCAGATCTGTGTGCATTGCCTCCAGAACATACAGTATTAAAATCTATTTATATTTACATCAAGATTAACATAGAAATGTGAACAATTAATGTGGATTCCTAATCATATTTCAGCTCAGGGTTCTCAGGGTTACATTTTGTTTTGAAATACAATATCTCGTGCATAACAAGACCACCTATTAAAGCTGCATACTTTAATAAGTATTTATTTAGGGTTGAATATCTGGCAACAATGTGGGTTTGATCTTCATGCTCTCTTTTTGGTCAGCACTAACTCCTGAGATACCTGGTTCTTTGGCTGCTGTGTGCTATGCTTTGCAGCTTTGTCTGTCTGCCAGACGCCCGAACATTTACAAAACAATTCCACACATATTCATTTCCACCAGTGGTTATATACAACTATTGTTTGGTGCAGATCCAAAGCACTGATGATGTCACAGGAAGGGTTTCATGTTTAAAAAAAGCATGTTTATGAACTTCCTTTTGACAACGGTATGCAATGCTCTTCTGCAAATATTTGATATTGATCGATAATTGTATGCTTTTTGTCAGCTCTGGGCAGCTCAGGTCTAATACACTTTATGATCTACAATGACTCAGATTATGATATGATAGACTTTGTATGCACTGAACAGTTGTTTGTTGTCGGGCCACTAACTGCTACAAGTTATATTTGATGTGTTGTATGCTGCAGAACAAATAAATTATTTTAACTGAACAAGCGTCATTAAGTGTGTGTGTGTGTGTGTGTGTGTGTGTGTGTGTGTGTG